GATAAGACAAGCTCGACTGCGCGCTACGGCAAAAAAATGTCGTACTAGAAAATGGAAGCGGCTCGCGAAAGTAACGCACTATCCCGTTTTCTGTTGTGGGTCCTCTAGCTAAGTCTGTTAAGTTAGGAGAGGACATATTAAGTTAACCATTTTCATGACGTTTTCAATCCTTTAGGAGAACTTGCTGCTCTCATAACCTAACCAGAGGACCCAAAACTTGCTGATTTGATTCCATTTCACATGGAAAATAAATTTCCATTTTCTAGTATGGCAACTAGTCGATTAAGGCAGCGTCTGAGATCCTCTCGGACGTAGGTTCGAACCCTCGTCACGGCTCTTGTGGATTTGTTCATTTGATGCATCACGCTATTGTGATTTCTTTGTGTAGTGTAGTACGGCAACTTTTGGCCGTAGCTCATACGAGCGAAAAGCGACATTATTTGTAAGAGGACGTGTAGCATACATGAAACATGTTGACCAGACCACACACTAGAAGGTGAAGGGACGACGACGTTTCGGTCCATCCTGGACCATTTTTAAGTCGATTGTGGTTCGACTTGAACCACATTCTCAAGTCACAATCGATTTGAGAATGGTCCAGGACGGACCGAAACGTCGTCGTCCCTTCACCTTCTAGTGTGTGGTCTGGTCAACATACTTCAGCCACGTTATTGTGACTCACCGCCTGCTTATACAAGAAACAGATGTAGATAGGTGGTTATCAGGGAAAAGCACGAAGCCGTCATGACAATATAGCACTTGGAAGGGGGTCAAGATAACAACAAGGAGACTGTTATCACAGCCCCAAGGTACCAAATGGACGATAAAATCCTCTAGGAATCAAGATAATAAAACATTGGGAATTGATATCACACCAACTCTTCAAGGAACTTACGGTCCTTACAATCAGATCACCATCAGAGGAATCCTGGCAAACAACGCTTAATGAAATACTCGACAGATAAAACGACGAAATAGAGGATAGGACATGGGTGATGTCCTATCCTCTATTACCGCCCTTATCTTCATATCCAAATTAGTACATATAGGTAACGTCCTATTTACACATCAAGCCAATTAAGCCAATAACAGCCACTCGGCATCCGCTCACACTATCATCTTCGAGGCCAAGAGAAGGAAGATAATGATAAACTGATATCATAGAAGATACAAGATAACCAGCATACTGCCCAAGACATCGTTGAAACAAGGAGAAGAACCAGCTTGTGTTTCTTGGGAAATAATGTAATTAAGATTAAAAAATTGATAAGATTTAAAACAGGATTGAACAGCAACATTTGCAAGGTTGCAGACGATGCCAAGATAGAGCAGGAAGACACTTAAGGGAGACATTAAGTCACTGCAAGACGATTTCTTTTGTATAGCATTTTAATATATATTGGTAAGTTTGGATTTAGGGTAGACCTGGCGGAAAGGTGCGAGGGAGAGTGCGTGGTGGCTCTGTGAGTGTGAGAGTGCGTGGTGGCTCTGTGAGTGTGAGGGAGAGTGCGTGGTGGCTCTGTGAGTGTGAGAGTGCGTGGTGGCTCTGTGAGTGTGAGAGTGCGTGGTGGCTCTGTGAGTGTGAGAGTGCGTGGTGGCTCTGTGAGTGTGAGGGAGAGTGCGTGGTGACTCTGTGAGTGCGAGGGAGAGTGCGTGGTGGCTCTGTGAGTGCGAGGGAGAGATGTATTTTAAAATTTTCACCGTCAATATGTTCCTTGGTCTCTTTCACAAGATTGCAGCCTCTCTGGGACGTCTCATTCTCATCTTCTCATTTAAATCACCACACCTACATTTAAATCACCTGCACCACCACCAACACCACCACCAACACCACCACCACCAACTTCACCACCAACACCACCACCAACTACACCACCACCAACTACACCACCAACTACACCACCAACACCACCACCAACACCACCACCAACACCACCACCAAACCGAGGATCTCTCAGAAATCTGGAAAAATAGAAAAGGTGTCTCAGTATACATTGACACACATTCCTTGCAAACTACCGAATCAGGTAATCAGGCTGAGAGTAATGAAGCACCTGGATGACGAATAAACGGAATGACAGCATGGATTAATAAGGTGAAAAGTCATGCCAGACAAACCTAATAGACTTTGTTGACAAGATCAATACACAACACGATCCGATTATATAAAATTGGATAGATTTCGTGTCCTAGATTGTCAAACAGCATCTGATACTGTCCTCGTGTGTGAGGCTCGTGTACAGGTGACACGTTGTGATAGCTGGGAGTACCTGACGGGCTGGAAACAGTGGCTCACACTCGGAGAGGCGTCATGGATATGACACTTGGGACCATTAATGATCTTATCTTATCACAGGCCATTACTACAATACGCAGCACCGACCTGGATGCTGCGTATTCTAGTCGCGAACCCATTCTTACAGCTTAAGTAGAGATAAGTAACAAAAGGGACTTGATCACCACATACAAGATACTGAGCGGAATAGACAAGGTGGAGAATGACATCTTCTTTAAAGTTGTTAACAAAAACTCAAGTAAATCGCCAGTAGAGTCATAACCTTTCCTGTACTATCAGTCATAACCTTGTCTCTGTCAGTCATAACCTTGCTCTCTCATACTCGCTGTTACGTAAGCACTCTCAGGCAAGCACTCTCAGACAAGCACTCTCAGCCAAGCACTCTCAGCCAAGCACTCTCAGCCAAGCACTCCCAGCCAAGCACTCTCAGCCAAGCACTCTCAAACAAGCCCTCTCAAACAAGCACTCTCAGCCAAGGACAAGACACACGTACCACCAATCTCAGCCCCAAGAAACCCCAAGACCTTAATCAGTCTTAAAACAAGAAACAATAGAATTTCTGTAAAGGGGAGAAAAAAAATATTTAGAGTTTTAAAAACAAAAAAGATTAAGAAACGTCTCTTGCGTGATCCGAAGGTAATTTCTATGCAAATTGATTCTGCACATTTTGCAGCGAGGCTGAGATTGGTCCAGAGTTGATTTACCTTAGATAAGAAAGTTGGGTTAGTCTTTCTGGCCTTCTAGTTAATCAATAGTGTTTTGAAGGGGCGAGTAAATATTATTGATGGAGTGGGATGGTGGGATAGGGACAGGAGGAACGTGGTGGAAGAGGGGATAGGTGGGGAAGGTGGAAAGGGAGGGGGGGGGGTAGTAGAGAATAGGAGGGTGGGGAGAGGGGAAGAATGTTGTACATAAAGGAGAGAGAGAGAGAGATAATACAAAACAGGGAGTAAAGTGGGAGGTAATGCAGGAAATGGTGTGAAATGGGAGAGGTGATGGGGGTGTAGAAGGGGGATAGAGGAAAGGTAGAGGAATGGGTGGGTGGTGGGGAGGGCTGGCAAGAGTCAGATTATGAGGGATTCCTTTGCATTCCTCATTTAAGATATGGGGAATGAGTGACCTCTACTGGTGATCATTCACTAGTAATCAGTGATCATTACTCCTCCCTGTGGTGCTGGGGATCAATCATTACTCCTCCCTGTGGTACTTGGGATCAATCATTACCCCCTCCTTGTGGTGCTGGGGATCAATCATTACCCCCTCCCTGTGGTGCTGGGGATCAATCATTACTCCTCCCTGTGGTACTTGGGATCAATCATTACCCCCTCCCTGTGGTGCTGGGGATCAATCATTACTCCTCCCTGTGGTGCTGGGGATCAATCATTACTCCTCCCTGTGGTGCTGGGGATCAATCATTACCCCTCCCTGTGGTGCTGGGGATCAATCATTACTCCTCCCTGTGGTGCTGGGGATCAATCATTACTCCTCCCTGTGGTGCTGGGGATCAATCATTACTCCTCCCTGTGGTGCTGGGGATCAATCATTACTCCTCCCTGTGGTGCTGGGGATCAATCATTACTCCTCCCTGTGGTGCTGGGGATCAATCATTACTCCTCCCTGTGGTGCTAGGGATCAATCATTACTCCTCCCTGTGGTGCTGGGGATCAATCATTACTCCTCCCTGTGGTGCTGGGGATCAATCATTACTCCTCCCTGTGGTGCTAGGGATCAATCATTACTCCTCCCTGTGGTGCTGGGGATCAATCATTACTCCTCCTTGTGGTGCTAGGGATCAATCATTACTCCTCCCTGTGGTGCTGGGGATCAATCATTACTCCTCCTTGTGGTGCTGGGGATCAATCATTACTCCTCCCTGTGGTGCTAGGGATCAATCATTACCCCCTCCCTGTGGTGCTGGGGATCAATCATTACTCCTCCCTGTGGTGCTGGGGATCAATCATTACTCCTCCCTGTGGTGCTAGGGATCAATCATTACTCCTCCCTGTGGTGCTAGGGATCAATCATTACCCCTCCCTGTGGTGATAGGGATCAATCATTACTCCTCCCTGTGGTGCTAGGGATCAATCATTACCCCCTCCCTGTGGTGCTGGGGATCAATCATTACTCCTCCTTGTGGTGCTAGGGATCAATCATTACTCCTCCCTGTGGTGGTAGGGATCAATCATTACTCCTCCCTGTGGTGCTAGGGATCAATCATTACTCCTCCCTGTGGTGCTGGGGATCAATCATTACTCCTCCCTGCGGTGCTGGGGATCAATCATTACTCCTCCCTGTGGTGCTGTGGATCAATCATTACTCCTCCCTGTGGTACTTGGGATCAATCATTACTCCTCCCTGCGGTGCTGGGATCAATCATTACTCCTCCCTGTGGTGCTAGGGATCAATCATTACTCCTCCCTGTGGTGCTAGGGATCAATCATTACCCCCTCCCTGTGGTGCTAGGGATCAATCATTACTCCTCCCTGTGGTACTTGGGATCAATCATTACTCCTCCCTGCGGTGCTGGGATCAATCATTACTCCTCCCTGTGGTGCTGGGGATCAATCATTACTCCTCCCTGTGGTGCTAGGGATCAATCATTACCCCTCCCTGTGGTGCTGGGGATCAATCATTACTCCTCCCTGTGGTGCTAGGGAACATTAACCGTAACAATGTCGGAACAGGATCGTAATTTCTGAGATTGATGGTGACTTTACTGCCTCCTCCACTGCACTCAATCTCCTCCACTGCACTCAGTCTCCTCCACTGCACTCAATCTCCTCCACTGCACTCAGTCTCCTCCACTGCACTCAGTCTCCTCCACTGCACTCAATCTCCTCCACTGCACTCAGTCTCCTCCACTGCACTCAATCTCCTCCACTGCACTCAGTCTCCTCCACTGCACTCAATCTCCTCCACTGCACTCAGTCTCCTCCACTGCACTCAATCTCCTCCACTGCACTCAGTCTCCTCCACTGCACTCAATCTCCTCCACTGCACTCAGTCTCCTCCACTGCACTCAGTCTCCTCCACTGCACTCAATCTCCTCCACTGCACTCAGTCTCCTCCACTGCACTCAATCTCCTCCACTGCACTCAGTCTCCTCCACTGCACTCAATCTCCTCCACTGCACTCAATCTCCTCCACTGCACTCAGTCTCCTCCACTGCACTCAATCTCCTCCACTGCACTCAATCTCCTCCACTGCACTCAATCTCCTCCACTGCACTCAATCTCCTCCACTGCACTCAATCTCCTCCACTGCACTCAATCTCCTCCACTGCACTCAATCTCCTCCACTGCACTCAGTCTCCTCCACTGCACTCAGTCTCCTCCACTGCACTCAGTCTCCTCCACTGCACTCAATCTCCTCCACTGCACTCAATCTCCTCCACTGCACTCAGTCTCCTCCACTGCACTCAATCTCCTCCACTGCACTCAATCTCCTCCACTGCACTCAGTCTCCTCCACTGCACTCAATCTCCTCCACTGCACTCAATCTCCTCCACTGCACTCAATCTCCTCCACTGCACTCAATTTCCTCCACTGCACTCAATCTCCTCCACTGCACTCAGTCTCCTCCACTGCACTCAGTCTCCTCCACTGCACTCAGTCTCCTCCACTGCACTCAATCTCCTCCACTGCACTCAGTCTCCTCCACTGCACTCAGTCTCCTCCACTGCACTCAATCTTCTCCACTGCACTCAGTCTCCTCCACTGCACTCAGTCTCCTCCACTGCACTCAGTCTCCTCCACTGCACTCAATCTCCTCCACTGCACTCAGTTTCAATACTGTTTAGACCTGACAGGTCCTTGTCGTTAAATAATAATAGTTATGTCAATACTTGCAGGTTCAGCACCTCTTTTTGCTTTGAAAAACACCGTATTTCCTCCCTCCCTCACACACACACACACACACACACACACACACACACACACACACACACACACACACAGAAAGCTGGAAAACAGCACATGTTTTTGCAAATATATTAAGAGAAAGCTAGACAGGAGCCGTTGAACTATAGGTGAATAATACAACATATACATACCACGCAAGATCATAAAAACATTACACAAATAGTTTAGTGGAATAAGTGAAGGAAAGGAGGCCTTTATAAAGCCTCCAAAATAGCTTAAATTTAGCCTTAATTAGCCTCCAAAATGGCCTTAATTTAGCCTCCAATATGGCCTTAATTTAGCCTCCAAAATGGCTTAAAACATGCATAAATTTAGTACTGGTAAAAACAGCCTCACAAACCGCTAGATTTCCCCTTGAAGAGAAACGTAAATCAACCGCCACAGATGGCTAGAATGATCTCAGAAGTGATTACTAGAATTTAACTCCAGCAAATGCAAGATTAGGAAGAAAACAGGTAGCAACGGGGCATAATTAAGATACCAAATGATAGGAGAGTCTGAATTCTGAGGTGGTGTTGTCAAGAGACCGGGCCGCGGGGGGGCCTTGACCCCCGGAATTAACGCAAGTAAGTAATTACCAAAGAAGGCGCCAGGCCGGGAAGGCTATGTAGCACCATTAGATTAATATCAGCGCAACTATCTAATCTGAATCTATCGGAACCAACGCAAGATATAAGGTACACATTAACCAACTAACCTCAGTTTAATGTGCAGGGTTGCGAATCTTGAGGTTATCTTGAGATGATTTCAGGGCTTTTTAGTGTCCCCGCGGCCCGGTCCTCGACCAGGTCTCCACCCCCAGGAAGCAGCCCGTGACAGCTGACTAACACCCAGGTACCTATTTTACTGCTAGGTAACAGGGGCATAGGGTGAAAGAAACTTTGCCCAATGTTTCTCGCCGGCGCCTGGGATCGAACCCAGGACCACAGGATCACAAGTCCAGCGTGCTGTCCGCTCGGCCGACCGGCTCCCATAATGTATGGACCGACTTTAAGACACATTAATGAGGCTCCCGATAGATTTAGAGGGGCCTCGTAGCCTGGTGGATAGCGCGCAGGACTCGTGATTCTGTGGCGCGGGTTCGATTCCCGCACGAGGTAGAAACAAATGGGCAAAGTTTCTTTCACCCTGAATGCCCCTGTTACCTAGCAGTAAATAGGTACCTGGGTGTTAGTCAGCTGTCACGGGCTGCTTCCTGGGGGTGGAGGCCTGGTCGAGGACCGGGCCGCGGGGACACTAAAGCCCCGAAATCATCTCAAGATAACCTCAAGATAACCTCCCTAGAGAACTCTACACACTCACAGGATGATTGGAGCGCTCGGCCGACCGGCTCCCATAATGTATGGACCGACTTTAAGACACATTAATGAGGCTCCCTAGAGAACTCTACACACTCACAGGATGATTAGAGCTGCTCTATAAACTCGCCCCATAGAGCAAATACAATAAACAAACAACTGATGACCTTCGCATTCCAGATCAGTTCTACGATATGACAAATTTCTATAATTTCTAGATAAATGGAAACGGGTAAGTGCCAGAATTGAGAGAATGAACTGCGAAGATATGATCACCACATGCAAAATACTCTGAGGAATTGAGAGTGAAGATAAGAACAGGCAAGACGAGTTGAGAGGGACACGAACAAGGAGACAGGTGGATACTAATTACCAAAACGAACCACAGAGTTGTGGGTAGATATCCGGCATGGTTATCTTAAGATGATGGTTATCTTGAAATGATTTCGGGGCTTAGCGTTCCTGAGGCCCGGTCCTCGACCAGGCCTCCTTTTTTTGTAACACATCCCCAGGAAGCAGCCCGTAGCAGCTGTCTAACTCCCAGGTACCTATTTACTGTTAGTTGAACAGGTGCATTAGAGTGAAAGAAACTCTGCCCATTTGTTTCCGCCTGCACCGGGGGATCGAACCCGGAACCTTAGGACTACGAATCCCGAGCGCTGTCCACTCAGCCGTAGCGGCCCAACAACGCTACAACAGTTGATTAAAGATTGAGAGGCGGGACCCAAGAGTTGAAATTCAACAAATACACACGGGCTTAGGCCTAGCAAGCGTAATAGGATAGGCGTGTAGGTGGGAGAGTGGGCTGCAGGTGGTGGTGGGCGTGTCGGTGGCAGAGTGGGCTACAGGTGGTGGTGGGCGTGTCGGTGGCAGAGTGGGCTACAGGTGGTGGTGGTGGTAGTGGGTTGACTGACCTACTGAGACCACAAACCTTCCGTTGCCTCACCACCAGTACCCTCAGTACCACCACCAGTACCCTCAGTACCACCACCAGTACCCTCAGTACCACCACCAGTACCCTCAGTACCACCACCAGTACCCTCAGTACCACCACCAGTACCCTCAGTACCACCACCAGTACCCTCAGTACCACCACCAGTACCCTCAGTACCACCACCAGTACCCTCAGTACCACCACCAGTACCCTCAGTACCACCACCAGTACCCTCAGTACCACCACCAGTACCCTCAGTACCACCACCAGTACCCTCAGTACCACCACCAGTACCCTCAGTACCACCACCAGTACCCTCAGTACCACCACCAGTACCCTCAGTACCACCACCAGTACCCTCAGTACCACCACCAGTACCCTCAGTACCACCACCAGTACCCTCAGTACCACCACCAGTACCCTCAGTACCACCACCAGTACCCTCAGTACCACCACCAGTACCCTCAGTACCACCACCAGTACCCTCAGTACCACCACCAGTACCCTCAGTACCACCACCAGTACCCTCAGTACCACCACCAGTACCCTCAGTACCACCACCAGTACCCTCAGTACCACCACCAGTACCCTCAGTACCACCACCAGTACCCTCAGTACCACCACCAGTACCCTCAGTACCACCACCAGTACCCTCCACCACCAGTACCCTCAGTACCACCACCAGTACCCTCAGTACCACCACCAGTACCCTCAGTACCACCACCAGTACCCTCAGTACCACCACCAGTACCCTCACCACCAGTACCACCACCAGTACCCTCAGTACCACCACCAGTACCCTCAGTACCACCACCAGTACCCTCAGTACCACCACCAGTACCCTCAGTACCACCACCAGTACCCTCAGTACCACCACCAGTACCCTCAGTACTCACCACCAGTACCCTCAGTACCACCACCAGTACCCTCAGTACCACCACCAGTACCCTCAGTACCACCACCAGTACCCTCAGTACCACCACCAGTACCCTCAGTACCACCACCAGTACCCTCAGTACCACCACCAGTACCCTCCCTACCACCACCAGTACCCTCAGTACCACCACCAGTACCCTCAGTACCACCACCAGTATACTTCAATGCTAATACATAAACTTAGAAGAGAGAGTGTTCAAGAAAGTGATGTGATGAAAGTGATTGAAGACCATTTTCAAGAAAGTGGTGAGTGGTGGATCAAGAAACTCATCAGCCACAGGAAAATGTTCAGCCTGTTCGCCAAGAATCACACTACATCAGTACTAGAGCTTTGTCTGTGATAGATAACACAATAACATTTTAATAACTAATAACATTTTAATTAATAACATTTCTTGTTATTAACACAGTTAACAAGAACAATATCGTAAGAAAATGAAGTAGTTTCTCAAAAATCAATTTTAACATTCCAAGAGTCATTCCACTCGATGCTGAAACTAACACACTCGATTGAGAACAAAAAACGGGACCTGTTGGTATAACTTGTACCAGAACCAGGTCACGTTAGAGGACAGTATAAAAAAAAAATTGTACTAATGTGCCCTGCATAATTTTCAATACAATTTACACAAAAGCAGCATTGGTTACCAAAAAAAAAAGAGCATAGAGCATCAGCTGAGTTAAAAAACAGCCATTATGGGAGAGTTATACAACTTCACACAAAGTAAATAAACAATGACACGTGGGAATCAGCTGGTAGAGCAGCGCCACCAGCTGATAAGTCACTAGGGCACGTGTTTATGAATGAACTCACTGAGCACGTAAATACGCGCGGAAGAAACATTGGTGATCGCCTCCTGGATTTCATTCATTTTTTTTTTTTTGCGAGCGGAAACCGGCTTCAGTGAATTCTTGAACACAACTCTAAAAAATGCATTTTCCTTCGCTGTTGAAACGGCACAATGAACCTTGCAGGTGTTAAATGTGGTGAATCGTGGCACAGAGGCAATCAATTTGAACAATGCAACAAAGCCCAAGTTTTGCAATTACTGTTCCGAGAGATGGGAAAGATTGAAGCAACATCTAAACGTTTCTCAGCATGCGATGTTCACAACAATGTGGCATGCACTGATTGATGGTTCACCATCATTGTACATCATTGATGGTGTACGACCATTGTACGTTATTGATGGTGTACGACCAGCTGTACAGCAGTGATGGTGTACGACCATTGTCCGTTATTGATGGTGTACGACCAGCTGTACAGCTTTGATGGTGTACGACCATTGTACGTCATTGATGGTGTACGACCAGCTGTACGTCATTGATGGTGTACGACCAGTGGCACATCATCTAGATTAAGTTAGAAAGTCCTTAATTGACTTCAAACTCTCAAACTCACTGCACAACCTTGAACTGAACTTTATTCTATCTCTGTTCACACCTGACACCCACCCTACACACGTGACACCCAACACCCACCCCACACACACCTGTCACCCACCCCACACACACGTGACACCCACCCCACACCCACCCCACACACACCCCACACACACCTGTCACCCACCCCACACACACGTGACACCCACCCCCACACACGTGACACCCACCCCACACACACGTGACACCCACCCCACACACACGTGACACCCACCCCACACACACGTGACACCCACCCCACACACACGTGACACCCACCCTACACACA